GATCAGATCCGAAGACAAGGGAACATGCCGGGAAGATTTCGGCCACGATTGAGTGTCTATACCACGATTGGAAGAGTTTAGCTCCTCATTTGGGGACTTTTCTTCTTCTTCTTTTAAATATTATTTTTTCCCCTTTTTTTCTTTTTTTTTTTGTCTTTTTTTTTCTTTTTTTCCTGTTTTTTTTCTTTTTTTATTCTTTTTTTATCTTTATACAAATTTGACGTGCAATTGTCGTGAGGTGCACTCAAAATAATTACAATACAATGATTATACGTAGTATAATAAAGTAAGGTTCGTATCCACAGGGAAAGGAATATTTTTCTTTTATATAAGAAGTAACAAAAGGGGGGTTTAGATTTGTTTGATTTAAAAATACTAAGATGAACAACCTATATGAGTTTAATTAATAGATGTGGAGGCTTGGGTTTGCTTTTATCCACTTAATGAAATGTTTGTCGATCCCGGTTATATCTTTAACTATCTTCCTCTCGAATACTCAATCGAGGAGTATATCCAGTTCATCGAGGGTAGTTATTAATAACGAGATGTGTTCATTAATAAAACTTACTATCGAGTCAATATAGAACAAGCGTCGGATATTAACTTGATAGTAGCAATAAACTTAAGATGAAAACGATTGAGATTGATAACCTCAACACAAGCGGTTTATTGGTTTAATCAATATAATTAATTCCCCTTGGCATATTAACCATGAGATGCATGCATTAATAAACCAAGTTTACTACCGTTGAAAGAATCGGATTAATAACAAGCGTATTAACCGATTGATTCTAGTAATAATTAATATGAGAAACAAAACTAGTTGATACTTTAAGTATTGTTCAAAATATTAACATGAAATATGAATAGGAATTAATTATTACTCAAGAAAGAATATCAAAGAATATGAATCCTACTATGATTAATATCAAGATGTTAACTAATTGTCATCTTAGTAACACTCCCCAATATTAACATAGAGGAAGAAATAACTATTACTATAACCAATGTCAAGATGTTAACTAATTGTCATCTTAGTAACACTCCCCAACTTTGATATAGAAATAGTATTTTAAAGGAAGAATTAATATTCAAGAGAGAAGATTAAAGAAAATAACTCACAACTTACAAATTCAATAAGCTTCAAAGTAGCAAAACCAAGATGGAAGAGTTTAGCTCCTCATTTGGAGGCTAAACATGATGAAAAATATAAAGAAAGAACAATTCTATACTGAGCTTAGATGTACAAAGGAATTGGATGCTCATTTGTGAAGGAAAAGGGGTGTATTTATAGGCTTTTGGGATGTGATTCGGGTACTCGATCGGGATATACATGGTACCCGATCGAGTATGTGTGTAATACCAGATTCGAGGTATACTCGATCGGTTTTAGGCTATGTTCCAAAGGTATACCTGATCGGGTATACGTTTATACTCGGTCGAGTATGTGTAGAAAGTGATATTCGAGCCATACTCGACCGATTTTACGTTTAAACTCAAAGGCATACCCGATCGGGTATGTCGGTCTACCCGATCGGGTATAGACACTCAATCGTGGCCGAAATCTTCCCGGCATGTTCCCTTTTCTTCGGATCTGATCCGATTTGAAGTTTCAACCTAATACCCGATCGAGTACAGGTGATACTCGACCGTGTATAGACCAAAATTTCAGGATCCTTCTTTCTTTTTTATTTTTGCACATTCCTTCCACTTTTTGGGGTTCACCAATTGTCCTTTGAGTGATCAAGACCTCTTTGAGCTCAGAATATACCTAATCTAAACTATTTACAAGAATTTGACAAACTAAACTATTACACCAAAAGTGTGTAATTTCCAAAGTAAAAATCAAGCAAAACTAATTAAAAACACAAACATACATATGGAAATTACAAACGTATCACCTATCCTCAAGGCAACGGGCAGGTCGAGAACGCCAACAGAACCATCCTGGAGGGCCTGAAGAAGAAGCTCCACGACACAGGGGGCAGTTGGGACGATGAGCTCCCCAACATCCTATGGTGCTACCGTACTACGCCGAGGAGGGCAACGGATGAGACACCCTTTGCCCTTTGCTATGGCTTTGAAGCAAAGGCCCCCAGAGAGGTCACCATACCTAGCCGACGGGTGGAGCACTATGAGCCTGAGGCCAATGAAGAAAACATGAAGATCGACCTCCACCTGATCGAAGAAAGACGAGAGCAGGCCTTCATCCGGGAAGAGAACTACCGGCATCAAGCAAAATCATACTACGACGCCAAGGTACGTTCTCGGGAATTTCAGGTGGGGGACTATGTCCTTCGCCGAAGAGAGGCGAGCAAGCCGACAGAAGGTGGCAAATTGGCACTCAAGTACGAGGGCCCCTACATCATCAGTGTCGTAGTCAAGCCCGATACCTACAAACTGAAACACCCAAATGGGTCTAATGTACCACGAACGTGGAATGTACATCACTTGGTGAAATTCTATCAATAACCCGGGGACGGTGCAGCCGGCAAAGCCCTCACCTTCCCACGGATTGTTGGTCGAACGCCACCCTCAGCCTCGAGCCACTTATTAATAAAAGTTGTTTCTTACTTCTCTAAAGATCATAAACGTACCATACTACACTGACCCCTCAGAGCGAAGATGCCTAGGAAAGGTCAACAGAGTACATCGTTCCGGCCCCTCAAAGCGAAAATGCTTAGGAAAGGCCGATGGTGTCCCCAGGACGAAGGGCCCGCAAAGAGCCCATGTCTTGAAATGGGAAGCTCACCGCGTCGTCTATCCGCGAAATCAGCAGGACGACAGGTCTAAAATCATGGCCGAGGTGACAAAAATCCCCAAACTCAAGGATGAGAAACGGCAGTCGTCGGTAACCGATCAAAAGCCTTAGCCCGCGTCATAAACAGGCGACGGGACCTCCTTGAGATCCCAGGACGATCCAGTAGGACTCCTTACCGGACGAGGGACTATCGACCCCCTTGGCCGAAGCCTGAAAGAAGGACATCCACTCCTCGCTCAAATGAGTAAAGAGGAAGAAAATAAAAGAGGGACAGTCGAAGGACAGCGCACTTGTCGGCCTAAAGCGATATCCCCAAAAATAAAAGAGGGACTGCCGAAGGACCGTGCACTTGCCGCCCTAAAGCGATATCCCCAAAAATAAAAGAGGGGCAATCAAAGGACCGCGCACTTGTTGGCCTAAAGCGATATCCCCAAGAAATAAAAAAGGGAAGCCGATGAGTCGTGCACTCGCTGGCCTCGCGCGATAAAAATAAAATCTCCAAAATTATCTAAGTACATATCAGGCAAATATTACGCATTACAGACGAAAGCGCTCAAAAAAAAAGAAAAGAAGGAAAAAACTTGGACAAAAAATACCAAGGCAAACTCCCGTGGCCGGTAAGGGCATACATATAGCCGGCGTCGGACAACCCCAGCGGTAAGCCGTCATCAGCCACTCACAAAGGAAGCAATCACCCAAGTATGCTCAAACACTTAGAAAAATTTCTAAGTATTTGGAGAAATTTCTGAGTAGCATCCAGAGTGGCCGATGAGGACGAGGGTCCGGTCTATCCAAACACTTAGAACGATTTCCAAAATTTTCTAAGCGGGACTCTGAGAGAAGTCCACAAAAGTGCGACGCCAAGCATCACAAAGATGAAACAGACATCCCCCCCAGCCGAGCAAAGGACAAGCCCCCTCATCGGCAACAACTACGGGAATCAGGATTATGAGCTCTTGTTTAAACACTTGGAAAACAAGCTACAAGCTATCCACGCTGGCCGTATTGGCCGACGAAGGCCCCAAACTAGAGCAACTACTTAGTTTGACACTCAGAAAATTTTCTAAGTATTTTCTAAGTCTTTTCGCTAATGAAGGCCCACGTGAACAGAGAATAAGGGGGGGGGGGGGGGGGTAACGCCAAGACGAAGCAGACACTCAATCACTTGAAGCCTAACACTAGAAAAAAAAATCCTAGTCTGGCTAAACATGCTCACCTAAGCTACCCGCTTCGGCCGCAGCCAGAGAACAACCAAAGACGACAATTATCCAAGTCCCAATTTCAAACACTTGGAAAAATTTCTAACGCTTGAGAACAAAAGCAAAAGGGAAAGCAAGACGAGGAGGACACACAATAAAGCCGGAAACAATGGATATTTTTCATTCACATGGAAATTCATTACATCAGGGGGCTCAACGACCATTACATAAAGGGCGTTACAACACCTAACTAAGCTACATGACGAATAGTCATCCGATCAGCTCTTTGGGGTGACTTCATCAGCGATCAGCCCCGCATCAGCTTGCCCAAAAGCAACTTCGTTGCCCTCTTCCGGCCTTGCACCTCCACTCGCCTCAGCGGCTGAGGAGACAGCGGTGTCGGCTAAGGCGTCATCATCGGACCAATCAGGCTCACCGATGGAGGAACTGAGTACCGGATCTTGCCTCTCAGACGGGGGGAGCTTTGTTTCGGCCTCCGGATCTTTCATCAGCCTCGGAAGCTTCAAGTTTTTCTTAGCCCATTTCTGGGTGAGTTTCAGCTTTTTGAAAGCCCGGTGCAGCCTCTGGTAGATCAACCGTTGCATCCTCTGCTGGCCCATGTCGTAGTAAACAGACATTTCACGGGCAAAGTATTCTTGGCCAGCAGGGCAGTTCTGGCCCAAGTCTACAAGACGATCCGCCACTACCTCGTAGCACCAGGGCCGACGGTCTTCAGCCTTCCAGCCTTCCAGCCTTCGGCCAGGAATCTCTCGATAGCGCCGTCAACGGCTTTCTCAGCGGCCCTCTCAGATTCAGCCTGAGCCTTGGCGGCGTCCTCGGCCTGGAGCAGGGCTTCATCACGACTTCTCAAGGCTTCATCCTTGGCCCTCAGAGCGTCATCCCTGTCGGCCGCCACCTGTCGATAGGCCACATCGGCCTCATCAACACCCTTCTGCAGGGCCTTCACCTCTTCCCAGAGCCGATCCCGGCAGGCCACGGCCTCCTCGGCCGAAACAACCTTTTCTCGACCTCCTGCAAACGGGCAATCTCTTGCTCTTGCCGCTTATGGCTCTCCATCAGCATAAGGGCACCCTGCAACCAAAAAGAAAAAAGAAGAGTTAGGACGAGGCAAAAACTCGTGACACCAAAAGAGATAAAGAACAGGGAACTTACTTGGACGATGAGGTCCATCCCGCCGTCATAGATCCTGACGGGGCCTAGTTTCTTCAAGTAAGCCCGATCCTCAACCGAGACAGCTTGGGCCAGAACATCATGGCCATCAACGGCATCATTGAAGACGCCACCCTTCACAGGGTACTCAACCTCGAGTTTGTAGGTCCCAACGGCCAGATCCTTGTCGGTCCTCTGTTTCCGGGGCTCCTGGCCGACAGGCGACGACGAGGGGACCGAAACCGCATCAACAACGGTAGTGGCATTTGAGCCCCCGGCATCATCGTCCGGTGTGGTCAGACCGCCGGCGCCAGCATCGGCCAGAGGGGAAGCCCTCTTCGACTTCTTGGACTGCATACCGGCCTCGGTTAGCTTCCTCTGGCCGTCATCCACGGGCCGTTTCTTCTTCGGCTGCGTGGGTGGCTTCTTCGCTGCGTCAAAGCTCGGCTGGGCGCCACTCGCAGCGGCCATCTTTGCGGTCTCTTTGGCAGCCATTTCCTCCTTTGCCTTAGCTTTGGCTAGGGCCATGACGGATCTGCAATCCATAACAAAGTCTGCACAACGAGGAAAACAAAGACAGTTAGCAAAAACAAAAGTAAATATAGACGAAGACGTCAGGGAGGGTATTACCATCAGCGTCAGCGGGCACACCCAAATCTGGGCCATCGCCCTCCTCAAACGTGGTGGTCATCCTCGGCCACATCTCCGTATCGCTCTCCTTGTCGCCGTACACATAGTACCTCATGAAGCCGAGGGCGGTCATCTTATATTCTGTGATGTAATCTTTCACGCTCCTCGGCCCTCCTTTCAGAAATGCCGCCACCTGGGCATCCAAGATACTGCTCTTTGGCACATCGCGAAGGTTGAACCTACCGTCATGGCCGACTGAGGGAAACTCCGTGTCGTCCTCACCCAACGATACGAAGACGAACTTGCTCTTCCAACCATGAATGGACGAAGGGAGGTCAGTAAAACTCCTCTTCTTCGGCAACTGTTGAAGATCGGCGTAGCCGGCACAATTCTTGTGACTCCCTCGGCCAATGTGGTATAAATTCATGAAGAGAGCCGTCGTCGGCCTAAAGTCTAACTCATCGCAACGGAGGAGGAAGCCGACGATGAGTGAGTAGTTGTTCGGGGTCAACAAGGCCGGAGGGAGACCCACCATGTCCAGATACTCCGTGATAAACGGGTGGAGGGGAAACCTAAGCCCCTTTGCAAAACTCATGGGGTATACTCCAAAATACCCCGGAGGTGGATTCAACACATGATCCGTCGGCCTGGGCGCCCTAACCCTCCCATACGGCCCCACGTACATTTGGGCCACCAAGTAATCGGCTGCGCTGCTCTCCGGCTTGATCAGATAGAGGTTCGTGAGGTCCAGGTAGGAGTAACCTGGACCCTTCTTCGGCCGACGTCTTCTCATCGGGGCAGCTCCCTTTACAGGAGAAACCGGCTTCGGGCAAGGAATTGCAGCCGAGGTAGACATCCCGTCCACAGCACGGGAAACAACTACGTCCTCACCGTCAGACGATGAGGCGGCCTCTTCGTCCTCGCCTTCGCTACCCTCTTGCTCCCCTGATTTGAAGGAGCTCAGATCCTCTATCTCCTCACAACACTCCTCTACTACCCGGTAGTCAAGGGATTTAACAAACGGCTCATCGTCATAGGGGTAGTACTCGTCGTCTAAAGGCTTCATCATAACAACTAACTAGAGTCTAGGGAGTTTTACTTTGGATCTAAGGGTTTATTCTCCACTAACAGCGGATCAAAGGCTAAAAGAAGCAAAGTATACAAGGAATTGGAGAAAAGTTCAACGAACTGACCTTTGAAGTTTTGAAGATCGGAAGAACACACAGAAAGGCTCTCTCTCTAGAAAATTTGACAGCATTTCGTTATCTCAGGAATGCAACGAGGAACCTCTTCGGAGGAAGGGGGTATTTATAGACCTCCCCCCCCAACGGTCACTACACGTGGCAACCCCCCGTTGGCCACATGAACGACCACCACTCCTAAGGCCCATTGGGCTGGCACCGATTCAGAAGACGGGTCAGGCCCACTTCCGCAGTATCAGCCCATCGCCAACACGCCAACAAGCAACGCCCGCAACGGCCAACCACTCAACGGCCACGCTAAGAGAGCGTGCCTACATCGGCCTCAACACAGATAACTTCAAAAGGGTAGGTCACATCTCAAGATACGCCCATATCGGCTTGAACAGAATGCCAACTACATGGCCTTTTCAACGGCCACAACGGCAAAGCAAAAAGAAACCCCACGCCATCGGCCTTGTGTAAAACCCGGATGATAATTTCTTGAAAGTGACTTGCGTCCAAGGGTTCTCCCACAGGGTTACCTTGGTCAGGAAATCACCAAGGAATTGGATTCAGGGGAATGCATGAGTGCGCTTCGGCCTAGGCAAATCCTTTACTCCTTCACCCCTCACGTACTCTTTGGCCTAAAGTAGTGGGGGACTACACCGGCCTTTGAAAATCAGGACAAAATCAGATATGCACCACAACGTCCATAACCGGCCGCAGCAAAGTAAGCAGAAAGAATTCCCTCCAAAGATGCAACACCTAAGATCACAGCGCACTCAACGGCTTTGAGACCGCATACTCCACTCCCGTCCAGAAATTAAGACGGGAACTCATCGTCCTCAAAACATGGACACCAAGTTGCGAACACCATCACTCCTAGCCAAAGACACAGAATGAGAGCCACAACGGCCAAATAAAGCAAGCAGCACCCTCACCGGCTACTCGGAGGAAGAAGGGCACTCATCGTCCTCAAACGGGGAATGACCACAATAGTCTCCTCGGCCATGGGTACAATGTTCAATCATCAACGGCCAGGAGTAGAGAAACATCGCCTTCATCGGCCACTCACGCAGGAGAATGCTCATCGTCTCCACCTAGCAAATGCACTTGTCATCCTTGAAACCGGAAACATGCATCATCCGCACTACTAGGGCCCTCTTCGCCCACAACAAAAGACCACACAACGGCCAGAATGCGGAGTGCCCGTAACGGCGCAAACAAAAACCCAGAGCAAGGGATGCTAATAAACGGCCAAAACAGGTAAAACCCCATAGTGGCACCACGACGGCCAAGAAACGTCAAAGGCATGGAATCTACTCTCCCTCACTTCGTCTACACCTCAGCTTAGAGAGTGGGGAACTCCTGATGGAGTATATGGGCCAGGACCTCAAGGCCCACATACTCAGGAAAACGAAAGGTACCACGACCACCTGGTGGGACCCTCGTCGGCCAGATGACCCTCATCGGCCAGAAAGAAGTCTACTCAGAAAGTGATCCAGAAGTCGGGAAGAGCCGGGTGACCTCGTCAGCCGGGTCTTCGTCAGCCACGCCTCCGTCGGTCGTGCCCTCATCGGCCACAGATGGCCTCCAGAATAGGGCTTTATGCTTAATCTTTTCTATGTACTTTGTATCTGGCCCATTAGTGGCCCTATTGTAAATGGGCCTCCCAAACCCAAGACTTGGGAGCCCAGTCCTATTTTTTCCTATAAATACTCCCTCTGGGAGTAGTTGTAAGAGTTCAGAATTCATTAATACAAAACAAATATACTACTTCTCTCTCTAGCTCTCACTTCTCTCTAGACTTATAGTCTATCAAGTAACATTTCTTATGTTTTGTTGTGCATTTCACTAAGAAAATAGAGTATAATCCTTGGAAACAAAAGGAAACTTTTCCAAACTAGAGTAAACTAGAACATTGTAAAAAATCCTTCTACAATGAATCAAGGGAAAATGGAAACTAATAATCCAATCTTTAGCGATCTTTTTACAATAGTTCTCCCTTTTGATTATTCATGAATAATGTAACATTTGCACCCCATCTTCATTCACTGGTCCCTGACCGATTTATGCCCTGTTATTCCAAATTATTTTCTTATCTTTGCAAAACATTATGTGATCATAAGGGGTGCAAAGGTTGGATTATTCATGAATAATCAAAAGGTGAGACTATTGTAAGAAGACCGCTAAAAGGTTGGATTATTAGTTTCCATTTTCCCATGAATCAATGATATTTAGTATTTACGGTAATAAAATTGAAAACAGGTTAAAAAAATTGGAACACAGAAGTAACAAAAGTGAAACCACTATGGGTCGGGAATGCATACATTTGTTTAAAAAATATCAATTCATATGTTGACTTAGAACCCGTACGGTAACACAGAAACCGACTTAATCGGCTTATTTTGCTACTCCCTCCGTCCCATAAAACTTGGCCAATGTTGACTTGCATGTAGATTAGTAAAGTAAAAACTGTGTGGTTGATATTTGTGCAGAGGAGAGAGAAATAACTTTAGCCACATATTTGTTACTTTAAATGAAAAAATATCTAAACTCGGCATCTACAATAACTTTAGACAAGATAAACAGAAAAGTACTCCCTCCGTCCCCTTTTAAATGTCTCATTTTACCATATTGGGATGTCCCTATTTAATTGTCTCATACCTTATTTGGTAAAGTTTGTGTGGCTCAAAATTATTCTTACTTTATTCTTACTTTATCTATTAATATCAACCACACAAACCTGCTTTTCTTAAAACTCGTGTCACTCTCTTCCGGGACATTTAAAAGAGGACGGAGGGAGTAACTTTAATCTTACTTTTTCTTATTAATAAACAATTTAACACACAAAATAAAAAGTTACATATTTAATAAAAATATAGACTGATATGTCTGATAAGTTGGAAAATATGATCACCAAATCAACTTTTAATAAACAATTTATTGAATCATGAGATGTACACTGAGCCCGTAAGCACGCACGTTACAATCCAATGATGAAAAGAATCTGTATAGTACTTTTTGAATTATTATAATCCTGATAGAATAACATTTTTCGTTACAAACCGAGCAAATGCTTAACCAATACAAATATACTTGATTTTTAAAATTACTTTCAGGTGCATCACTAATTCGTCACTTATAGGGAGTAACGTTTAGGATGTTTGAACTTGGTCTTATATTTTCACATTTGGTCTAATGTATTTAAATTTGATATTGAGTAGACTATGTTACTCTTATCAATTTTTGATGATTTAGTCTACGAGCCTATTTGATTCTGGTTTTCGACTAATCAACCAACTTTTTAATCAAACACGTAATTTTTGATTTTGCACGTTGAATTTTGTAATAATAAGAAAAAGTAAGCTTTGAATTACTTTTCTGGATGTATTGACTGAAGTTACCGTAAATGATCATTTTAGCTATATTTCATATAATGTTTTCTTTATTATATTAATAAAATATATTTTAAATAATTTTTTTTCATAAATCGGCATAATCAGTCAATAAAACCATTTAGTCAAAACTTCATAAATTTCAACAAAATCAACCGATTCAACTGATTTCGATGTTACCAAATGACCTCTAAATTGATCTAGTGTTATGAATATTTTACTACTACCTTCACACCATATTTTTATTTTTTTGTTTAGCACAATTATTAATAACGTATTAGAAAAATAAAATTTGTAACTGAGATTTGAGTAGGATAAAATAAAAAAGATATAAATCATA